CATAAGCCATAATAAGAGAAGTTGAAAAATGCGAGAACCCTGTTAAATGTGGTTTTAACATACAAATACTCACAATAATCTTCAAGTAAAACAAACATGTTTATTATAATCTACTATTTGGGACCATTCCATCAACATAGGGCTGCACGATTATGACAAAAATCATAATTGTCGATTATTCCCTTGAAATTGTAATTGCGATTATTAATTACGATTATCACAATTTATATTGAATGATGTTTATACCATTGCTTGATGCAACTGCATGCCGTATTTTTATATGAAAATAAACAAGCTGAAAACACTAACTGAAAAACCTTTAGTGCTTTTCTATAGTATTAAGCCTCAAATGTCAACTATACATCGGATTGGTTTCTTCTTTAAATTATAAAAATATTAATGGTATTATAATGTTATACTAAAACTAAAACAATGGAAAACCCCTTAAGATAACACGTAGAAAGAAAAAAACATATCTTAAGCGTGCAGAATAACATACGTGGACTTTGAACTATTAATTGCCACTTTGAACGATTACGTAATTGTGGCATCCATAATTGTAATCGCGATTAGAAATTCGATTAATTGTGCAGCCCTACATCAACACAACTATTAGATCTGAATGACGTTTATACCCATTTCTATTACGATAATATTTCATAAGTATAAAACAGAATTAGGGCTGCACAATTACAATTACGGACGCCACAATTACGTAATCGTTCAAAGCGGCAATTAATCATTCACATTCTTAAGATGTGTTTTTTATCTTTAGGGTTTTTCCATTGTTTTAATTTTAGGTTTAGTATAACATTATAATACCATGCATATTTTTACTTTTTTTATTATTTATTTAAAGAAATCCAATGTATAGTTCACATTTGAGGCTTAATACTATTGAAAAGCATTAAAAGTTTTTTAGTTTGAGTGTTTTCAGCTTGTTTATTTTCATCTAAAAATATGGCATGCGGTTGCTTCAAACAATGGTATAAACATCATTCAGTGTAAATTGTGATAATCGTAATTAATAATCGCAATTACAAATTCAAGGAATAATCAACAATTATGATTTTTGTCATAATCGTGCAGCCCTAAACAGAACAAAAACAGCAATTTAACTCACCTTTTCGCCTTATCTTTCCCCTCTTCCTCCATCAGCCCATCAAAAACACTACCATCATCCCTAAAATAGGACACACATTTATTCTCTGAGTGATGGAAAACCATTTTTATTTTCTTTCTATTTAATAGAATTCTTTGCTTTTTGCATATCACTACAGAAAGAGAGAGAGAGAAACAGAGAAGCCATATACTTCTAAAAATAGACTAAGGCTGAAGACGAACTTCTCTGTAGTTCCTTTAAAATGTAAATGCAGAACGTGGGACACTGAAAATGCATGTGAATATAAAATTGCAATTACATTTTAATAAGGATGTTGTTGACATATGCATGCATGAAATGCAACATGAATTATATCAAACCACATTTTCTGTTGTGCTACTATATCTGAATTATTTCTGAAGAAGTACACTACTGTTTAAATGTTTGGGGTCAGTAAGATCTTTTTTTTTATTTTTATTAATACCTTAATTCAGCAAGGATGCATTAAATTGATCAATGGCAGTAAATAAATGTATAATGTTACAGAAATTAAAGATTTCTATTTCAACTTAATTGCTGAACTTTCTATTCATCAAAGAATCCTGAAAAAAGTTGCAATTTTCAACAAAAATATTAGCAGCACAAAATGTTTTAAACATTGATCACCAATTCAGCATATTAGGATGATTTCTAAAGGATCACGTGACACTGAAGAATAGAGTAATGATGCTGAAAATTCAGCTTTGTATAACAGAAATAAATTACAGTTTAAAATATATTACAATAGAAATTTTAAACTGTAATGATACTTCACAACGCTACAGTTTTTAATTACATAAACACAGCCTTGTTGAGAATAAGAGTATTCTTTCAAAACCTTAAAAAGATCTTACTGACCCCCATTTTTTGAACGATAGTGTATGTGAAGATTATTTCAGCTCTACCTGGAGCTCATGATAACGCCGTCTCATGAATCAATCTGGGGTTAAAAAACCTGATGCATTGGGAAGACATTGGTGAGGAGGAGCTGCAACTGTGAAAGCCTGCGGACACACAAAACAGAAGATAACTGAATGACAAATTAACAGTGTTGTTTAATATTACTTCTCTGAATCTTTTTGGTCACTGTAGCTACAGTCAGAGGTGAAAGGTAATTGATGGGCACACAGAGCTTGGGGCCACATAACCGCTAACTCAGCATAAATAGTCTACTTTACAAAACATATATATAGGACACATTCAACTTTTAATACATTTTCACTTGCTGGTTCAAAAAGTCACACAGTTCTTCGCATCAAACTAATCATGGTCATTACAGAAATTAAAAGCCTCTACTGAAGTTTCAGGTCCAGTCCATATCCAGACCAGATGGTGGATCAGCACCTAGAGACGACCTCAACAGCCCTGACTGTCAGGAGACCATGTCAACTAGATGCGCCCCAGAGACAGATCCCCTGCGAAGACCTCATCACCTCGACAACCATCGGCACAAGACCACGGGAAGCAGACAAATCCTCTGCACAATCTGACCAGCGTTGCAAAAATAATGATCTTTAAAAAAAGCATCATATGACCCCTTTAAACCCCGTCATGCTGGTTTCATCTGGCCAGAGGAGAACTGGCCCCCAACGGAGTCTGGTTTCTCCATTTCTGTTATCGGTGGAGTTTTGGTTCCTTGTCACTGTCGCCTTTGGCTTACTGGGGACACTTCATTTCTGGCAATATTGTCAGCTTGACTGCACAGACACTATTGGAAGAGGCTGAACTGGATGATGACATCACTGAATCAACAATGAACTGACTTTAGCTGGAAAAAATGACTCTTGCATTACTGACAAACTATTTTCCTATTTGACACTGTAAAGCTACTTTGACACAATCTGTATTGTATAACGCGCTATACAAATAAAGGCGACTTGACATTATGCTCGTCGTTCCTGTTTAACCCATGTAAACTGCGACCACAACAGCTGTTATAATAAACATAGCAGTCTATCATTTACACGAGCCTGTCAACCCTCTTAGAGACGCTGACGTTGTGAGAAAACATCCTAATTAAACCAAACATGTGTCGTAATGAAGACTGAAATGTCACGTCAGTGCATAAACTGCTAAACTTAAAGAGAAAGTACTACTTTTCAATACTTACACTGTTACCTCACAGCAGCAGCATGTGTATCGCGGAACTACCGCCTTTATCAAAATAAACATATTTGGTACCTACCAAAAAAAACCACTCTCACACTTCCACACAGGAGCCTGAACAGATCTGAGCTCCTTCGGTTCCGAGATCCGTGCAGTCATTCATTGGGTTGAATAAGCGGTGCAATACCGAGCAAAGCAATGCTGAATTTCAAGCACGCACTTCCTCGAGCGCTCTCGCGAATGTGGGTCAGCGGGCCTAGTGTGGCACGCGAGGCGAACGGAAGCTGCTCTGATCGCCGCAAAGTCCAAACGCGTTCAGTTCATGCTCGTAACGCCATGTACATAAGCAGTTAGGACTTCTTTTAGACTTTTACCTTAAATCGGCGGCCGTGCGAGTGCGATTTCGGTTTCGAACAGGATGAAAAACATGTAGGCCAAGCCTACTTCACGCGAGCAGTCCAAGTCATGCGCAGTAGCCTGCGCCATAAGCGCACACACACGGGCCACATCAGTGCACTTAGAAAAATAGTGTGCAAAAGCTAAATAGTATTGCAAGTGGTCTGTGTTGTATGCTTAATTAAGCACTTTTTGCATTATTTTTACGACATTTTATTCCAGTGGTACCTTAAATTGTAATGTTTGATGAGACTAATCACTGTTTCCCCCCCCAAAATTAATATTTTATAAACTTAACTTTAAAAGGAGCCGACAAACTAGTACCCAGCTCATATTACTGGTAAACTAGGTTGTTTGCACATATTCACCATTGAAATACTGGTCTTAAACTGGTTTTATTTAAGATGTAAGTTAGACACAGTATTCCAGAAATGGGGCCTGATTTTATTTTGGCCATAAACATATCTTATTATCCATGCCATACTCCTTGGCCCATACGCTACTCTTCCATCCAAAACTACATCCTCCATCATACGAATATTCCCAGCACTCCTCCAGTACTTTACGAGTGAGATGAGTCCTTACTGATGGATGAAGATTCACCCAATACGTCATTGTCAATTTTATCCTTCTAAGTTCAAGAGGCATCTCACCCATTTCTACCCCAATTGCATCTACAGGTGATGTTTTAATTGCTCCACAACATATTCTTAATGCTCTGGATTGAATGATTTGCTCATATTCACCACTGAAATACTGCACTCTAAAAAATGCTGGGTTAAATACAAGCCAGTGCTGGGTAAAATAGGGACAAACCCAGCAATAGGGTTGTTTTGACCCAGCGGTTGGGTTACTACCCAGAAGGTTGGGTTAAACATTTAACCCAACCGCTGGGTCAAAACAACCCTATTGCTGGGTTTGTCCCTATTTTACCCAGCACTGGGTTGAATTTAACCCAGCATTTTTTAGAGTGTGGTCTTATACTGGTTTTATTTAAGATGTAAGTTAGACACAATATTCCAGAAATGGGGTCTGATTTAATTTTGGCCATAAACATATCTTCTATGAAAACAAATTTGTTCACCGTTTAAAATTTTTTTTTTTTTTTAACATTTAATTTAAACGCGCGATTAAAATGTGTACAGGTTAGAACTAAACATGTCGGTTTTTATTTGACAGTTTACGATATGAGCTTTGTATTTTAATACAGCATACAGATTGGCGTTATTGTTTCAATTTCACATTAAATAAAAATAAGTGACACAAATAAAATACACATCTGTTTTATTTCTAAATATTGATCTTTACAGAGGGCAAAGCAGGTCCCAAGTCCCTTTAGGGTCAATGAGACTTTTATTTTGGAATAAAATGTCGTCTTTTGTTGACGTCAGTAGACGCGACTGTGTGCGATTTTCAACCTTCTAATGTCACGTGTAAGGCTTTCTAAGAATTATCTTCGGAATCACGGTTGATTTGATCTGTTTTTATAAATTCAGAGACGATGTTGATACCATTCAGAAGGGCGTTACTTACGGCAATCCGACAACACAACTGTAGATTTGTTTCGGACTCTCATGCCACTTCCAGTACAAGAAAAGTAAGTTGCATGACTCGTATCATCAGCTAAATGTCTCTCTGTACACACATGTCATTCGTTTTGTTTTTATTGTTACGTCTGAATGGGTTTATTCAGGGTTTAGTTCTTGGCGTGTATGAGAAACAGCCAGACAATGAAGGGATACGTTTAACGGAGGCTGCGGCGGCATTTGACAGCTCGATCTCAGGAAAACTGTCAGGAATGCTGACGATGTAAGTCACCGATTTGACTTTTGCATCCTTACTGTTCTTCTCGTTTTTTCATCTATTCTTTTCTCTGTTCTGTAGATCTGGACCTCCCCTGAAAAAAGGCAAAAGCAGGATCTTCTATGGCTTACATCAGGTGTGAACCCACATCTGTATGATCTTGGATGTCCTTTAGATGCTTGATGACAAGATTAATATATTAAAGGGGTCATATGATGCGATTTCAAGTTTTCCTTTCTCTTTGGAGTGTTACAAGCTGATTGTGCATAGATAAGATCCCTGAAGTTGCAAAGACTAAAGTCTCAAAACCAAAGAGATATTCTTTATCAAAGTTAAGACTCTGCCACTCCCCCCTAAAACGTCTCGTTCGAACACGCCCCCACATGTCTACCTCACTATGTGGAAATATTTGCATAATGCGCCCAAATGTTCACGCAAAGAAAGAAGGCGTGGTTTCAGTAACCGCAGTTAGTGTTGAAGCAGCATGTCAGGGAGACGCTGTGTGTTTCTAGGCGAAAGCAAAAGCACTTTATTTGGTCTTCCGGAAGTAGATGCATTTAGGAATCTTTAAGATTACTTACAACAGAACAGCAATGCATTTTATGGACGACCGTTTCGTGAACCTAGGAGAGGAGGTCATTCTGACTTTGCTATGACAATCTGGCGCTTCTGGCGTTACGAGCCGACAATCAGCTGGCCAATCAGAGCAGACTGCGCTTGTCGGAAGGAGGGACTTTGTTGAAAACGAAGCGTTTGAGAGAGGCGGGGCATAGAGGACAATCCGTGTATCAATCGATCATTCGTTTTTTGATTTAATATTGAAAGTAGAAAAATTAGAAAACTGATCCTTTTTCGTTTTTTTGTTTTTTTTTCCAAAAAACGAAAAACGAGAATTCAGCTTAAATTTTAGTTTTTCGTTCATGGGTGGAAAAATTAATAAACAGTTTGAATATTTGATTTCTACATATGGGCGGGAATTAAACGCTGATTGGTCAGCCGAAGATCAAACTGTGCCATCATCAGTTCTTCTGCAGTATCACGCAGCAGATTAATAGTCCTCTGCTGCTGCTGCTGTTGTACGGATTAATAACCCATTTTATCAATTTCATATTTTTCTCATCAAACAGACTAATGAATAGCTCGTCTAATGACAGCGTATTAAGTTCCCACGATGGGGGAAAATCCAAGTGAACATCAATCAGTACTCAATATTAATTTAAACTGCTTTAAATATGACTGCTGCTTATTTCCTGTGCACTTCAATACTGGTCTGCACTTGACTGTAGTCGCGTCTGTCTGCTTATTGAGTTTATTTAACCCATCACAATTTCGCAACATTGCAATGTCCTGCTCGGGGCTTGCCAATTTATGGCAGAGAATGGTGACTTTAGTTGTTTGTTTTTTTTTAAGCGGATACATATCTGTCATAAAATAATCCTATGCATCTCGTGCCGTATATTCCAAGCATTCTGAACGTATACTGAGGGTTTGGTGAGAAAAAAACGAAATGGCAAGTTATTATATTTTATGAAAATCTTGCGTGGCAGCTCACGCTGCACACAAGTGCATATCCTTTTGAGATATCAATTATATCTATAAAACACAAGACTACATTATATAACTCTAACAGTAGGCTATTTAATATCTGTTGTTCTCCTGTTGTCAGTCAGAATGACAGTTCTTGCGTGAACATAGGTCAACCCAAGCCAATTTATTATTCTTTCCTTTCTTTCTTAGTGTTTAAAATATTTATTTTGAAACAAATTAATTAATTTCTTAATTAAACAAACAGACTTACTGGGTGAGCAGGGTAGGCTAAGACAGCTGTCATATCATACCCTGCCATGCCCAGCTGATGCAAAGAATAGAATTTATATCTACACAGAAGAAAGCCCTGTCTAGACTCTGCCCCGGTACGAGTTGTGTCGAGCTATTCATTAGCCTGTTTGTTTGATGAAAAAAGATTAAATGTAGTTGCAATAAATGTGTTAAGAATCCATACAACTGCAGCAGCGGAGGACTATTATTCTGCTGCGTGATACTGCGGAAGAACTGATGAAGGCGCGGTTTGATCTTCGGTTGACCAATGAGCAGAAAGGGGCGTTTAATTTCCGCCCACATGTAGAAATGGAATATTCAAGTTATTAATTTTTCCACCCATGAACGAAAAATGAAAATTTTGAAAATGTTTCTCATTTTTCTACTTTCAATATTAAATTAAAAAACGAATGATCGAATGATACACGGATTGAGGACCTACAATAATATACAGTATTTGAAAAATAATGTGTTTTTTTGAACATTAAAGCATGTCAGCATATTCTGTTACACCAAATACACCAAATAATGATCTTTAAAAAAGCATCATATGACCCCTTTAATATATCAGTCGATCCTTACCAAAGTTTCTTTTTCTTTTAAAGGACTTCCCTAGTGTAGTTGTTGTTGGTCTTGGTAAGAGCGGCACAGGTGTGTGTGGAAAAGAGAACTGGGACAACTGTAAGGAAAGCATCCGTGCAGCTGTGTCAGGTAAATGTCATTGTTGTGTTCGGCTAAATCTCACAAGGCTCTGCCAAGAACATGATGTCAGGGTAAGATTTCACCCCCAGATCAAAAGAAATTAGATTTTGCTTAAAGAAAATGAAGAATTAATGTGTTTTGAATGTTATTTATTCTGCTCTCTATTACTGTAATGCATAATTGAATTGCAATCTTGTGGAAAGCTATTAATAGCTGCAAAGGGGGACCGACTCTATTAATGTCTGTGTATTTAGAATGCAGTGTCATTAAAATCCCTGTTGGTGTAATGGTCTCAATGTTTTATGAAACATTATATCGTTGATACATTTTTTAGCTATATCGCATATATATATTAGGTCTGTCAGTCGATTAAAATTTGTAATCTAATTAATTACATGATGTGTTGATTAATTAGTCTAATTAATCGCAAAATAAATTTGACTATGAAAATACCCACAAAAGATTATTTAAAGCTATTTTAGTTAAATGAGAAAATATCAAGTAGACATTACAAATTGTTGCTTTAGAAAGTAATATTTTATTTGATTCAACATAAAATGTATTACACGTAAACATTTAGGCCACAACAGCCTAACATAAACTATGGAACATAAAAGAAGATAATTTGAGAAACATCTCAGTATTTTTTGTCTTTAAGTTATTACTAAAACGGCTTTGTTACCAACAGTCTTCAAAATACATTCTATTATGTTCCACAAAAGAAAGGTTTGAAACGAGGGTGAGTGAATGATGACAGAATAAACATTTTTTGGGTGAACTATCCCTTTAATATTATTATTATTATTATTATGAAATGATACTCTAAACAAGAAACAAAACCCCATGTCGTTCCAAACCCGTAAAAGCTTCGTTCTTCTTCGGAACACAATTTAAGATATTTTGGATGAAAACCGGGAGGCTTGTGACGGTGCGTTTGACTGCCAAGTAAATTACACTGTCAAGGTCCAGAAAAGTATGAAAGACATCGTCAGAATAGTCCATCTGCCATCAGTGGTTCAACCGTAACGTTATGAAGCGACGAGAATACTTCTTGTAAGCGAAGAAAACAAAAATAACGACTTGATTCAACAATTCGTCTCCTCTGTGTCTCTCCACATCACCGTAGCGCCATTTTGGAGAATAACCACTGAACGCAAGCAGTATACGCTATTCTGTGTTAGCCGCGCTGCACGGATGCGCTGTTTTCGTTCAAATCAAAGCGTAAATACACGTAGAAAACGTATCCTTGTGTCGCGGCTGACACAGAAGAATCACGTTATTTTTTTCATAACTAATTAAGTTAACGCGTTAAACTGACAGCCCTAATATATATATATACACAGTATATAGACAATTCCAATACCATGATGCAATTTGCCCGTGAATATTTCCTGCTTATCGTAAAACTATTTCAACATGGCTGTCATAAGTTTTTATCAAAATGTGGACCTTTTTGGATTCTCAGAACTTATGCAAGTTATTAACATAAAACCAGAAATACATTAAGACCATTACGTTAAAATGCTATTGTTTACATTCCTCAAAATGGTCTATATGTACATTTTTAACCAGATCACAAATGTTATATATATATAACATTTCCAGAAACTTTCCAAAAATCCCTGGAATATTCCAAAATATCCTGAAAAGTTTCAGAAATGTTCCACCTTTTTGCAACCCTAGTTCTAAGAAGAATTGGAATTGCAACAAAAACTTGAACGTTAAATATATAGACACAATGTGCTTAACTGTCATGAAAAAGATATATACATAAATGGTCCTAAAATAGGCTTTGTTTTCTCTCAAAAATGTCTTATTGTTCATAGTTCATTCAAGTAGTTTGTGTTTTTCATAATACATGTGTTGGAAATTGAGAACATGTTTTTTAAATGCACTATTTCAAATCGCCCTAACAAGTTTGCCTGTGTTTGTACAGTGGGATGCAGGCAGCTTCAGGATCTGGAGGTAGCTCATGTGGAGGTGGACCCTTGTGGAGATGGGCAGTCAGCAGCAGAGGGCGCTGTGCTCGGACTTTTTGAGTATGATGAGTTCAAAACAAAGAAGAAGGTCCGTGTCACGACCCAACCATATGGGAGGTATATAAAACACAAATGTTTAGATATTCATGAATTGCTAGGAAGTTTATTGCATGAGTTGTAATAAAGTCACACACATGCTGCACCTCACGCTCATCCTAAGAATTCTAGCTCTTAATTTTCTTCTTTCCTGTTTCTTTGCAGTGTGGATTCAGCAGCATGGCAGAAAGGTGTCCTGTATGGGGACGGGCAGAATCTGGCCAGACGACTAATGGAAGCTCCAGCCAATCACATCACTCCCACAGCGTTCGCAAACACTATAGAGCAGAAACTCTCACCCTTTGCTCATAAAGTGGCTGTCCACAAGAGGTAGTCTCAGAGTTCATTAAAACGAATCACTCTATTCATTAATGATTACTCAACACATCACTTTTCTGCATTTGTTTACCTCTTGTTCTTTAAGGCGTCAGTCTTGGATTGAGAGTGAGCAAATGGGGGCTTTTCTCAGTGTGTCTAAAGGCTCAGAGGAGCCCCCTGTCTTTCTCGAGCTGCATTACAAAGGCAGTTTAGACTCTGCACAGCCCCCTCTTGTGCTGGTGGGAAAAGGAATCACCTTTGACAGGTAACTGCATCTGTACAGAACCTAAAAGCATCAGTAGTTGGGAATTTGAAGCTCAAATAATTTGTGTGTCTGTCTCATTCCAGTGGTGGGATCTCTCTGAAGCCATCTTCAGGCATGGATGCCATGAGAGCAGATATGGGCGGAGCAGCCACTGTGTGTTCCGCTCTCGTGACGGCAGCCGCTCTCAAACTCCCAATCAATATCATTGGTCCGTCCATTGCACTAGACACTGTTCACTGCAACCGTTCGCACACAAACTAATCTCGTGTTCCTTATTTCAGGTTTGGCACCACTCTGTGAAAACATGCCAAGTGGAAAAGCAAACAAACCGGGTGACGTTGTCCGTGCCAAAAATGGCAAAACCATTCAGGTATTCTGCACTCGCACATACAATACCGATATGCATTACTGTTTAACATTGCCTATGTTATCTGGTATGGCAAAGCTGAATTTTGGAGTAAAATTTGAATAGATTTTTCAGTAATCATTCTAATATGCTGATTTGGTGCTCAAGAATTTTTTTTTATTATTAGCAATGTTGAAAAAAAGTGTAATGTTTGCGGAAATTGTGATAAATTTTTTATACGATTAATTGAAAGTTCAAAAGAACAGTGTTTATTTAATATCAAAATTCTTTACTTTTATCGTTCTAGTGTCCTTGGTGAATAAGTAGTTAGTTTCTTTTTTTCTTTGGTAGGTTGACAACACTGATGCGGAGGGCAGATTGATTTTGGCTGATGCTCTGTGTTATGCTCATAGTTTCAAGCCCAGAGCAATAATCAATGCGGCTACGCTTACAGGTACCAACACACAAGCTGCATTGATGCTTTCAAGTAAACATAGACTCATATTAATGGTTTCTCTCTGTCTTGGTTCCTCTGGCAGGTGCCATGGATGTGGCCTTAGGTTCTGCTGCTGCAGGAGTGTTTACAAATTCTGATTGGCTATGGGAGCGGCTGCAAAAGGTAATTAGCAGCGTCACAAAATGACTTGAATACTATTCTTCATTGACATCGTCCTTTCATATTGAAAGGCTTTGTGTGAGCTGATGTCATCATATGTGATTTGTGTATCCTCCTAGGCAAGCATTGTTACTGGTGACAGGGTGTGGAGGATGCCACTGTTTCAGCACTACACCAAACAAATAACAGAGAGCGCACTGGCAGATCTGAACAACGTTGGAAAATGCAGCCGGTACGTATGCACACTCAAACATGCTGTTTTACACATTGTAGTATTCTTTTTCACATGTTCCCTTCCTTTAGTTCAACTGGACTAGTTATTAGTTATGTGAAGTAAAGGATATTGGGATATAAAAAAAAACAATGCAGTCCAAGTGTCAACTTCACTATGTACAGTATGTTATGTGAAAAGACAATGTTAACATGTCCAAATTTTATTCTTACAACACACTCATACTTTGTAGTGCATATATAATGTTTATATAAATTTGTATCAAATGCAGTACATACTCGAACCAAATGTGATTTTCAATATGTCCTGCCCCAACTTCTTGTTTCAATAGAAAAATTCTCTATACCGGAAAGAGAAATGTGTTTGCAAAACATTTTATAAGGGTCTTCATTCCTCGTTTGCCCATTGAGTTATCTACATAATTATGTATGTTATTAAGAATGTTTATTCTACAAGGATGCATTGGTTAAAAAAAAAAGGTAAAGAGGTTTAAAAGTATAGTTCACCCCAAAATAAAAAAAGGTCTCTCATCATTTACTCACTTTTGTTGTGCCAAACCTGTATGAATTTATTTCAGCTGTTTAACACAAAAGAAGATATTTTCAAGAATGCTAGCAACCAAACACATGACGGTAGCCATTGACTCCCATAGTATGGGAAAAAATACTATGGAAGTCAATGGCTACCGTCAACAGTTTGGCTACCATCATTCTTCAAAATATCTTATTTTGTACTCAACAGAAGAAAGAAATGACTAAAAGAAAGAAATTACAGGTTTGGAACAAGTGGGGTGAGAAAATTATGACAATGTTCATTTTTGGGTGAATTATCCTTTTAAAATTATATTTCAAATAATTGTAGTTCTTTTGAATTTTCTGTTCAGCGAAGAATCCTGAAAACAGTAATGTATCACAAAATATTAAGCATTTTCACAACCATTTTCAAATTACTCAAGCACTATATTAGCATGTTAGACTGATTTCTGAAGCATAATGTGAAATAATAATGTATTCACAGAAAAAGCATAATGTTCACAGAAAATGAAGACTGGATTAATGGCTGCTATAAATTCAGCTTAGATCACAGGAATAAATTACATTTTTAAATACATTAAAACAATACAATTCTAATATTATTTTAAAAAATGTCTAATATTAAATTGAACATTTTTGATCAAATAAATGCAGCCTTGGTGAGCATTAGAGACTTCTTTCAAAGCCACAGAAGAAAGAAATGACTAAAAGAAAGAAATTACAGGTTTGGAACAAGTGGGGTGAGAAAATTATGACAATGTTCATTTTTGGGTGAATTATCCTTTTAAAATTATATTTCAAATAATTGTAGTTCTTTTGAATTTTCTGTTCAGCGAAGAATCCTGAAAACAGTAATGTATCACAAAATATTAAGCATTTTCACAACCATTTTCAAATGTGATCATAATATAAAAATGTTACTCAAGCACTATATTAGCATGTTAGACTGATTTCTGAAGCATAATGTGAAATAATAATGTATTCACAGAAAAAGCATAATGTTCACAGAAAATGAAGACTGGATTAATGGCTGCTATAAATTCAGCTTAGATCACAGGAATAAATTACATTTTTAAATACATTAAAACAATACAATTCTAATATTATTTAAAAAAATGTCTAATATTAAATTGAACATTTTTAATCAAATAAATGCAGCCTTGGTGAGCATTAGAGACTTCTTTCAAAGAGACTTCTTTCAAAAACCTTTAAAACTCTTACCGACCCCAAACTTTGGAAGAGCAGTGTGTTTGTTCTGTAATCTGTAGTAATTACTGTGCTTGTTTTTGGTTGCCGTGATGTTGAACCGGTCTGTGACCTCACAGTTCAGGCGGCGCCTGCACTGCTGCAGCCTTCCTGAGAGAGTTTGTGACGGCTGATCATTGGGCTCATCTCGACATTGCTGGGGTCATGACCAATAAGGATGAAATCCCATACCTGAGAAAAGGAATGTCTGGAAGACCTACACGTACGTTGGTGGAGTTCATTGCTGGTTTGGCCTCTGAACCCTAATGTGACCATTGTGACCTTTGACCTGGTTGCCTCAGAGGTATATCCATGATGTTCAGCGTTCAGAACGATAGTTTGTGGTTATTAATACGTTTGCTGCTGAAATGAGCAGACAAGTGATCAACACAGTGAAAGGATTGAAAAAGTCATTGCTGAAGTGTTTAAGGCACAAGAAGAAACTTTTAGTGCCAAGAACAGAAAACAATATCTAATGGAAACTGCTAACAAGCACTGCTAGAACCTGCCACACTTGCTAAAATCTAGTTACTTTAAATAGCAAGGAATGAAACTGTAGAATATAAAAGATCAATTTGCTGGACTGCTCTTTTAAAATGGTATTGTATAAAGAAGTGGCGCAAGGTTCTGGGATCTTTTCAAATTCTGCATGTTTGTGTAATAAGATTACATGGTAGCGGTATTATACCATGCATAAATGCACAAAATACAAGGTCAATAAAGTAATCTGGCAATGAAGATTGTGATAAATGTCACGGTGAAAGACTGTTGTGTTGGCATTGAGTCTGGATGTGCTGCCCAAATTATTTTTGCCTTGAAAACATACGTTGATTTTTGTAAACGAAGGGAAAATATATTTTTCATTAATTCGATCTTTCATTAAACACTTCATTTATGCTTAAAAAATGTGGCGCCTTGTTTTGCCATATTAATGTTGAAATGAACTTAAAAGTATAATTATTTCAGGATTTGCTCACCCTCATGTTGTTCCAAACTTGTATGACTGACATCTGCGGAACAAGATTTCGAAGAATGTTGGTAACTGAACAGTTTTGGTTACCATTGACTTCCATTATATGGATTAACATTTTTTTTTTTAAATATGTTTTTAGAAGAGTCAAAAAAAAAGTCAAACCGGTTTAGAATGACATGAGGGCCGGTAAATGACGACAGAGTTTAAATTTTGGGGCAAACTATCCTTTTAAATGCTGCTCACTATTATATTCCCAACCATGTTTAAAGATTGACAGTATTTGTCCTATGAAGAGGTAATGTTTGAGAAAACAAAACATCTGTACAAAGACTATTCATGTGATTTGGGTCATTATGGAGAAACTTTTGAACTCAATAAATGGAAAAGTCAAAAAAAAAGTGAGTCACTGTGTACACCACTAGATGGCTTTGTGAAAGTGAATGGAGGAAGAAGAGAAGGCTTGTGTTATCTCAGAATGTTCAGTGTTGTGTCAGCTGGGCCTGTGCACTCATTTACACACAAAACAGGACACTTTACTGGAATGAAACCCTCTCACACCATGCCTCTGTGTGTGTTTCTAACTTTTGGAACATTCTAACTATCCACTGGGGACTCAGTTGCTAAAAGATGCCTTCAGAAATGTGCAAAATCTCGCAAAAACGTATTTTATGGCATCCTCAAAGATAAAAGTAAATGTGTCACAAATGTGAACTTATTGTTATTAATAGGAAAACGATTTTCTTTTAGAATTTTGGTTAGGATTTGTCTGTAGTAATTCTTATTTTCAACTAGGTTTATGTGGGTTTTGAAGACGTTAGAACAGACATTGTGCTGTAAGCTGATGTGGAATTTGTGCAATAAACTTAATCTGAAAAGCGGGTCGAGATGGAGAGGAGAACGATTGTTCTAACAGCGCAGAGGTTTAAGCATGCGCGCCCTGCTTTCATCCCACATTCCCCCTACACACGCACAACCCAAATATCCCCTTTAGGAACATACACCATCCTTACCTACATTTTCTAATTAACAGCACAGCACTGTCTCCATTCTACATGATAGAATTTTGATTGTCAAGTAACTTTACTTTTTAGATGGTATAGTTAATTACGTTGTCTTTTTTTACCACAAGTTTACTTGTAAATGTTACTTTAGACAGGAATTAAACATGGTGTTTGTGTTGCATAGTCACACGCAATGGTTGCTTTAGATTTACTTGGAACTATTTTCGTAAAATAATGTATTCTGCAATACTGTGTTTAAAAAGTAAATTTACTTTTTAGATACAGCATTGCCGATTGTTAAAATAGAGCTAGTATATTCAGCAAAAAACGGTATTGCTGATTACATCTATTTTACTACAAGTTTATTTAAGTGTTCTTTTTTAGACGCAGTATTGCTGACTGTTACAAGTTTACTTGTAAGTTTACTTTTTAGACAGTACTGCGGATTACGTTAAAAGAGGCAGAATATTCAGCAAAACTGTCTAAAATGTAAGTTTACTTTTTAAACAGTATTGGTGATTACATCTATTTTACTACAAGTTTACTTGTAAGTTTACTTTTTAGACAGTACTGCGGATTACGTTAAAAGAGGCAGAATATTCAGCAAAACTGTCTAAAATGTAAGTTTACTTTTTAAACAGTATTGGTGATTACATCTATTTTACTACAAGTTTACTTGTAAGTTTGCTTTTTATACACAGTATTGCAGGTGATGTTACATCTGTTTTGCTACAAGTTTACTCGTTAGTATACTTTTTAGACGCAGTATTGCAGGTTTCTACAAGTTTACATGTTAGTTTACTTTTTAGACGCAGTATTGCAGACTGTTACATCTATTTTACTGCAAGTTAACTTGTAAGTTTACTTTTTAAACAGTATTGGTGATTACATCTATTTTACTACAAGTTTACTTGTAAGTTTGCTTTTTATACACAGTATTGCAGGTGATGTTACATCTGTTTTGCTACAAGTTTACTCGTTAGTATACTTTTTAGACGCAGTATTGCAGGTTTCTACAAGTTTACATGTTAGTTTACTTTTTAGACGCAGTATTGCAGACTGTTACATCTATTTTACTGCAAGTTAACTTGTAAGTTTACTTTTTAAACAGTATTGGTGATTACATCTATTTTACTACAAGTTTACTTGTAAGTTTGCTTTTTAGATGCAGTATTGAAGGTGACGTTACAAATGTTTTGCTACAAGTTTACTTGTTAGTTTACTTTTTAGACGCAGCATTGCAGGTGACGTTACATCTGTTTAGCTACAAGTTTACTTGTTAGTTTACTTTTTAGATGCAGTATTGCAGGTGACGTTACATCTGTTTAGCTACAAGTTTACTTGTTAGTTTACTTTTTAGACGCAGTATTGCAGACTATTACATCTATTTTACTGCAAGTTTACTTGTAAGTTTACATTTTAGACGCAGTATTGCTGATTATGTTAAAATAGAGGCAGTAAATTCAGCAAAACTTTCTAAAATGTAAGTTTACTTTTTAAACACAGTATTGGTAATTACATCTATTTTACTACAAGTTTACTTGTAAGTTTGCTTTTTAGACGCAGTATTGCAGGTGACGTTACATCTGTTTTACTAAGTTTACTGGTAAGTTTATTTTTTAGACGAAGTATTGCTGTTTATTTGTAAATTTACTTTTTAGACACACTATTGCAGATTACATCTATTTTACTTCATTTACTTGTTGTGGGTTTACTTTTTTAAGATGGATTTGACAGTATTGCTGACTGTTCATGCATTTCGTTCAAAACTCTGATTTATTCAGTAATTAAACAACTTGTTTGTTGCTTAGTGACTTGCAACCGTTGTTTTAGCTTCTTTTGGAACTATTTTCATTGTCAGAGTAAAGTAGACAAGGCAGAGTGATCCAAACAGTGAAAGTCCCAGTAGTTTTGTTGGACCACTGCTTGGCCAATCAAATTCAAGAACCAGAACTAAGTGTTGTATATTTTGTGCGATATAAATATGTGAACTGAGTGGAGTTGATTTATAGTCTGGTGGACAAAATCAGACTTCATTTAGTCATAAAGGTGTGAATCTTAGGTTGTATATGGGGATATCTTATCGTGAAGTCATCATAGTTTCTTGGTTAGGAATTGAGATTATGTGATACGCCCATTTTGGGTGAGTCAGTGTATGGGATTTGAGAGTACAGAGTTATATGCATGAGATCTGTGTAAGGCTGAGACAAAGAGGGAACAGCTTTGATAACAGTTTTGTTCAAAAGTGCAGCCAGAGGACAAGGTCACCCTCATATAGTCAAAATATACTCTTTGCCACTTTGTTCATCTTTTGTTAAAGTGTGAAAGTTTGTGGTAAACGTAGAGCTGATATCCACATCACAAATCTTTGTTAAAGTGTGTTTTAATAAAAATGTAAAAATGTGCATTTGGGAACTGTACAATGATGAGGTCTGAAAAATAACTTACATTTAAACATTTTTAACAGACACTTTGTCCAATATTTCTAAATATCTAAATATTTTCTAGACAGCAATGATATTAAATGGGAAGAAATTTGAGAAAATTTTAGGACTTTCTCTTACCATTCAAAAGTTTTATTTAAAAGAAATGAATAATCTTATATATCAAAGATGCATTAGGTTGATCAAAAGTGACAGGAAAGACATTTATAATGTTACAATATTTTTATTTATTTATTTTTTATTCACAAATCTTTGGCAACATGTTAAACTGTTGTAATAATGTGCATTTGGGAACTGTATGAAAATGTATGAAACAATAAACATTACAATAATGTTACTTTTGATTTATTATTTTTTTATTAAAAATATATGCCGTTCTCTTAAACTTTTTTTTTTTTCATCAAATAATCTTGGAAAAAAGTATCATTGTTTCCACACACACAAAAAAAAAAGCCTTTTTCAACTGTGATAAGAAACTAATATTTCTTGAGCACCAATCAGCATATTGGAGTTCTTTGGCATCACAGCAATAAATTACAATATTTAAATAGACATAAACATTTACTTTAAAATGTAATAGTATTTTATAAAATTACTTGTCAGCCTTGATGAACCAGAAACTTCTTTCAAAAAGTTAAAAACACTTACCAACCCAAAACTTTTGAAGGGTATGTAAAAATGAAACTTAAATGAAAACTCCATTAAGGTTGAGCTACTGAAGCGCAACCTCAGAGCAATAAATATTTCTTCTGGGTGTGTGTATGTGTTTTGGGTTGAGGGGGTGGTTTATGTATGTTTTGGGCCTGCAAATGACCTATTATGTGTATGTTTTTGGGCCGCATGTTAATGAGTGTGTTATATTTTTTTTTTTTTTCTCTCTATATATATATATATATATATATATATATATATATATATATATATATATAGCAATATCACAATGATAAAATAATATCACAATGATAAAATAAAATTTCTTGGTCTAGTTCATGTTGATTTTGCTGTGTCACTTTAGTGCATAGTGACTCTGCAACCAGAGATGAGGAATGTGATTTTGTCCACTCCTACTGCTTTTACCCATGTGTAATTCACCTGCAAGCCTTTGTCATGTCCAGCATTGAGGAAGTGTTTCCGATCTCTCTCTCTGTCTCTTGTTTTCTCTCTTGTATTGTCTCTCTATTGAGAGAGAGAAGAAGGTGTGTTGGATGCATTGATTGTATGAAAGGCGTTTCTGTGTGTGAGAATAAATAGAACTCTTCTCAGAGACTTGTGTTTCACACATGGGGGTTGGTTCATTTATTTTTGTTTTCAGCCAAGTTAAGGGAAATATGGTTTAGTGAACTGTTCTAATCGGTGACTATAGTTATTAGATTAACTATTTGTTTGCCTGGGAAGACAATGGCATATATTAGTGAATGATATGAAAGGGGTAGTTCACCCAAAAATGAAACTTCTCAAGTTGTTTCAATTCTGTACACTGAAAAAAAGAAGAAGAAAAAATGGCGTAGAAAAAAAGATTTTTTATTTACAAAAAAAACAAAAAAACTTCACACAATTAGTTACTGTACAAATAAATGGTAAGTAACACATTGAACTCAACACTGAACATGAAATTTTGAAAAATAAAGACTGGAACAGTATTTTCTTGTTGAAGCGTGCTCCAGTAATCTTTTATTTACAACTTCAAAAAACAATTTCTTTCCTCTGTGAAAGATATTTTGAAAAATCTTTCTAAGTTTTGCAAGTTCGGAAGTATTGGTTTTTATTGAATGGTAAATAAATAAATATTCATATTTGAAATAAGAGTATTTCAAATATCTTTTTTTAAAATATATTTTTAGTTGGTTATTTTAATGAACTACATATTAATGAACTACATGTACTTACTACAGGGTCAGGGTTTGGTTTTGGGTTAATGGCTTCTAATTATGCATAATTTATCATTATTACTACAGTAAGTACATGTAACAACTATGTGACAATAAAATAAAGTGTTATCTACAAGTTTATAATGAGAAATGAGAATTTATTAAGTGTTATTTCTAACAAATTTATTGTGGACATGACCTTTTAAAAAAAACTGTTGTGTATGACCACATTTCATGAATTCATTTAATTCGAAATTGCACACACACACACACACACACACACACAAGCTAGAGGTCAGTAAACTGGGTGAAGTAGTTATTTTGGAGATGGAAAGATTTTTTTTTTTCAATTTCATTCAAACATTCCAAGGTCTATGAGGAACAGAGTATGTGTTCATCTTTGTGTTACTTTGAGGCCTTTATTGCATAAATCAGAGAAACCAAATGGGATGGTGAGCTTTGTAAGGCGTGCGTGCGTGCGTGCGTGCGTGCGTGCGTGCGTGCGTGTGTGTGTGTGTGTGGAATGCTGCTCTGGCCTGTCTCCAGGTTGAGGGAGGGATAGCGTTTCCAATCCGAGAGGCTGGAAGCATTCTGGTTTGGTGAGTTTCTGAGACACACACATAAACACACACAGAGAGAAAGGAACAGGTTGCTGGGACCAGCCCGGTGAGAAAGATGCGAGACTAAACATTTCCCGGTACTGCTGTAGACACAGACCAACACGCACGCACACGGTTTCTTTTTATCAGTGTCTGAAGAGTTCATATTTCTTACATACTGTATATAGATTTAATGAAAGAAATATGAAGAGTTCATATTTCTTACATACTGTATATAGATTTAATGAAAGAAATATGAAGAGTTCATATTTCTTACATACTGTATATAGATTTAATGAAAGATTTGTTTTTGACCTTTGGCATTTCAGACTGGTCCAGTATTTCTACAGATTTTTTTGTTCATTTTTTTCCTCCTCGCAGTGGAGGAATGTGAAGATTATATCAGCGAGAGGCAGGTACAGAGACGGGGGCTAATTACTCCCTCTCTCTCTCTCTCTCTCATCCGAGAGGCTGGAAGCATTCTGGTTTGGTGAGTTTCTGAGACACACACATAAACACACACAGAGAGAAAGGAACAGGTTGCTGGGACCAGCCCGGTGAGAAAGATGCGAGACTAAACATTTCCCGGTACTGCTGTAGACACAGACCAACACGCACGCACACGGTTTCTTTTTATCAGTGTCTGAAGAGTTCATATTTCCTACATACTGTATATAGATTTAATGAAAGATTTGTTTTTGACCTTTGGCATTTCAGACTGGTCCAGTATTTCTACAGATTTTTTTGTTCATTTTTTTCCTCCTCACAGTGGAGGAATGTGAAGATTATATCAGCGAGAGGCAGGTACAGAGACGGGTGCTAATTAGTCTCTCTCTCTTTCTCTCTCTCTCTCTTTCTCTCTTTCTCCGCCCGGTCTCTCTCGTTTTCTCTCCCTCCTCCTCCTTCTCCTTGCCAGTGAAGGAGACAAGCAGGGGAATGAACAGCAGGGGCGGGGAAGTGAAACAGTTTGGAGACAGAAACCAAAAGAGAAAAAGAAGAGAAACTTAAAAGTTTTTTCACGACCTGTGAGAACAGACACGACAACGGGTGAAATACAGAGAAACAGGGATGCATGTGGCTGATCTGCTGTACCTTTGATTAATGCTACTCGTAGATTCTCTTTGACAGCTACTTAAAAGCGCAGGTAGGTGCGTATATTCTCAGGCATGTCTTTTTGTGATTCTCTCCGTCAGTGTCTTATGTTTTGTCTGTTTTCCTTCCTTGTTCTCTGTGTGTCATCTTCTCACAGATGGTCCAGTGATCAGATTCTCCCCTCTGACCGTATTTATTTTCATAGAGTTAAATTGACATCTCTCTCTCTTTCCCTCCCTCCCTTTTTCTTTCTCTTTTCCATCTTACAGTTGTAAGGTTACAATGTCCTTGTGTTGCGAAAACTGTGTTGAAAGTTGCTCTACTGGTCTTTTGTGTGTGTGTGTGTGTTGTGTAACTGCACTCAGGGGGTGTGCTATAATTCAGTGTGTGTGAGAGAATCAGGTTTCTGACAATGAGATGGCTCAATCTAAGAGAAAAAACAGCAAATAAAAACTATTGAGAGACGTCAATGCCCGTTCTAGCCAATGTACAGTAAGGCATACTCTGTGTAATAAGTGTACACATGTACTTTTTTTCAAAGGGGAATGGCACAACATGAACGGACAAGACACACAATTTAAAGATTAATCACTGTTTCATAAGCAAAAATTTTTTTCTAGAGCAGTAGAATCTTCTTCTACCAACAATATGTGGAAATGAAGTCCTGATGCATGTAAGAGGGAAGTGCCTCAGCTTCAGTTTGATATCATCTGATAAAAACCTCACTTTAGGAATGGCCGAAATATTCTTTAAAGGTAAAAAATGACTCAAATACTGTATGCCATAAACAAATGTATCTTTTAGGGTTAGAGTTAGTTTGTTGCAATTATAATTAGCTTTATGTAAGAAGAATAGCTAGATAACTAGATAAACGCGCATGTGGGTGGGTGTGTTTGCTTAGCTGTACTTGAGGTATAATTTTGCCCGCAGAAGTGAGCTAAATTGTATAAAACCTCCTTTTGTGGAGAACTAAGGACTTTTTAAATTGGAAAAATTATTCATAGATAAGCCATTTTTTATTCTAAAATTGCACACACAAAAAATCTGTTAGTTGTAGTGGTCATGACTAGCAGTAGTAATTATAATATCTTTATATAAAAATCATAGTCTGAGTCCCTATTTATATCTAGGTAAATGTCTGTGAGTGCCTTTGAATGGGTTATTTCATGTAGGGGTAAAGAGGTCAGTGGTCTTGAGAGCTGACCCGCTGTGGTGTTGCATTGTGGGGGATAGTTTAAAAGAAATTAAATGAAAAACTAGAGAAGAATTTAAACTGAGGTGAAGTACAAAGAAAAGACAACCTGCCTGTGTGTGTGCGTGTCTCAGTGGTCATGTGATTCTCTGTTGTTACTCTAAATACCGCATCTGTTAAATGTGTAAGCATGTTTATTTGGTGACAGACCTTAAGGGGCCCACTAGTGCATACACTTGAGTGTGTGTGTGTGTGTGTGTGTGTTTGAAATCTGATGTTTGGCTCTGACTTGAACCAGTTCTCTCTGACTCTAGCTGCTTATCTGATTCTCAGAAGGCAGCATATTCAGGTTCATATGTGTTTTATATGAATTTATATGCATTTAAATTTTTATTCATTCATGTTTTTAATTTTCTTTTAATTTTAATAAAAATTCCTAAAGACATCATAATTTTTGTTTTATGAATTGTGAGAGTGAACGATGAGACAGAGATGCTTTACTTATATCTCTGGTTTAAACCTCAGAAGCAGAAATGTTGATAGAGTTGCTGAGATCAGTTAGTTTCTGTCAGTCAGTTCAAACTTTCTATTTTAATTAACTGATTAAAAATTTTGAGCATATATGAGCATTAAGACAGGAACAAAAATCCATGTAAAGTTGCAGCGTTTGGTTCATTTCCGTGAATCAGTTCAATCTGTCTGTTTCAACGAATTGATTCACAACTTGTGATGTGTCATCACTCAAAAATGTCTCTATAGCATTTTCATGAATGCAGATATTTTAATTTAATATTGAAAAATATAAGTTCATAATTATAGCTTTTTGTTACTGTTTATTGTTATATTGCTGCATAAAAATAAAATTCTTAAAAATATTCCTTCCATTTGATGACAACAAATAAAAATTGACATGTCAATATTCGTCAAAAGATTACAAATTAGTTTTTCTTTGCTATATCGTCCAGTCTTATTCTCAAAATGTCTTTATTTCTAAACAAACAAACAAACACTTAAAATCAGTCAGCCGCTTTCATTTCTTGATCCCCAAAAACTCTAAATTGAATAGAATTGTAAGGTTTAGGGACATTTCTCAATTCTTCGTCTTTTATTGACTCATTAGTTTTGTTTCCTCTTTGTGGGAAACACACATATCTTATTCATCCACCTTCAGCACTTCAGTCAGCCTTTCTGACTTTTTGTAGACATACTATTAAATATAAAGAAGGAAACAGAGAGAGATCAAGTCAGGTCACCTCTCTTTCTGTGTTCTTAAAGTCATATGACTGATCATGTGACCTCCTCAGCATGACTTTAACCCTGACAGACATCTAGACGTGTGTGAGTGTGTGTGTGTGTGTGTGTGTGTGAGAGAGAGAGAGCGAGAGAGAGAGAGAGAGAGTAAGTGAAACAGGATCTCCTCTCTCTCCCTTTTGCTTTTCTTCCCATCTCTCTCCCTAACACACAACGAATACCTGCACTTCACAATGAATGCATTCTTACACTGTCTCTATAGACAGACTAGAAGAGCCGTGTGTGTGTGTGTGTGTTCAGCATGGTTCTCCTACTTTGATTAACAGTGACTCCTGAGGGGAGGAGCTCTTTTAGACCAAAGACTTAATTTGGGATATCCCACCGTGTGCCACACACACACATACACACACACACTTACACACTAGTCTCCTTAGTGACACAAGTTCTGCATGTTTGCTAATGCTTTTATGCCGCTTCATTACACACTTCTCTCTCTCCCCTTTCTTCTTTTCTTTGTTTTAGTGAGTAATAATAGGCCCCGTTCATTAAACCGGTCACATTTTACAATAAGGTTCCATTAGTTAATGTATTAACTAACATGATCAAACAATGAACAATACATTTATTACAGTATTTATTCATCTTTGTTAATGTTAGTCAATGAAAATACAGCCGTTGATTGTTAGTTCATGTTAATTCACAGTGCATTAACTAATGTTAACAAACACAAATTTTGATTTTAATAATGCATTAGTAAATGTTGAAATTAACATGAACTAAGATTAATAAATGCTGTAGAAGTATTGTTCATTCTTAGTTCATGTTAACTAAAGTAGTTAATGAACCTTATTGTAAAGTGTTACCATTAAACCCAACAAACAGGACAAAATCAGCACTGGTGTGTGAATACTGATACATCTTAATAACATTTCCAGTAAATTTGCTATTGTGTGTGTATGTGTGGAATGAAGGGGTGAGAGAACGTAATGGTCCCTAGCAGTCTGTCTTCTTTTAAATGTAACTCTTTAAAACATCTCATCCCTCTAGCACTGATATTGAAGACTCACAAACTTACAAATGTTTCCTTTTCTGTAAGTACACCCTGTCTTTCAACAATTTTCTCTGAACATTAATAAATAATACATTGCATCATTGTTTTACATAAAGTCTCAAATGACTCTCAAAAACTGCTTTTCGTTTTGTCTGAATCTTCAATCGATGTGCAATGAGAAAAATCAGTTTCTTGGCTGAAAGTCAATCATTTTTAGAGTTGATGACCCGAGGCAATATTAGCAACAGAGACAGTCTGCAGTAGTTAAAGAAATATTTCACAAAAGAAATTACAATTTTTGTCATCATTTACACAGGGAACACTTTAGTTTGGGGACCAATTATCACTATTAGCTAGTTAGCATGCATATTACTAGCATATTGGCTTATAAAGCACATATTAATGCCTTAATCTGCATGACCATATTTTAGATCCCATAATCTTACCCCATACCTAAATTTAATAACTATTAATAGACAGGAAATTAGGAGTTTATTGAGGCAAAAGTCATAGCTAATAGTTAGTGAGAATTGGTTCCCAAACTAAAGTGTGACCTTTACACACCTTAGTTCCAAACCCATAAGACTTTAATTCATCTTTGAAACACACATTTTTTAATGAAACCTGAGAGATTTCTGTCTGTTAATTTAAATACATTGTAAAAGTAATCCATAGGAATCACTGTTTAATCCAAGTCTTCTGAAGAGGCATGGTCGTATTGTATGATGAACAGATATAATTTAGGCTTTTATTCACAAATAAACATTGACATATAGAGCACATCGTTTATGGTAAATGGAAGCTCAAATGTGCTTTGGATGTGCAAGAACCAATTAGGTTTGTTCTTGTGCATCAACCAAGTATGGTTGAGCTTCTGTTTACCATATTTGATGTGCTCTATATGTGCTGATTGATGTTTATATGTGAATAAAAGCCTAAATTATATCTGTTCATCATATAAAACGCTGATGTCTCTTTGGAAGACTTGGAACTGCTTGATTCAAATGGATTACTTTTACAATATCTATTAATTTTTTGAAGAGTCAAATTTTGGTAGAATGGACTTCAAATGGAGGGACAAAAATCGTACCGGTTTTATTAAAAATGAGACGTCACATTCCTAGCTCTGCTTTTTTTTTTAAATAAATCAGAAATTGCAACTAATAATTATTTTAAAATGTGGAAATATACCATCTATTCCATTTGGCTGAAACGTATATAAAAAAATGCAGCTTTGAAGTTTATGTTCTTCAAATCTATGAAGCTTAGATTCTTTATTGGTCCAGTATCTTAGTACTGTGCTAATACACGGATCAGAGTGAACAAACTTTTGTCTTCTGTGTAAATCTGAGATTCTGTTGCTATTGGTGCACCATTGCACTTTGTAGCCCTGCCTACAGTGAAATCTCATTGGTCTAAAATCACGCTGTGTATTACACTTCGATATGGCTCTTCCGTGTCTTGAGTTATTTAAAGTTCTTGGGCGGTTGAGCCACTGGCGCAGTCACCATCAGATGACCTTGACTCAGAGATCTACTGTAGGTCAAATGTATTACTA